GCAGCATTTCACGTGATTTTTTTTTTGAGAGTGTGCACAAAGAGCCGTCCACCGCCAACACGCTCGCCGGCGACAAACAACACGACGACCCTGAAGGGGAAACGCATGCCTGCACTGCTGTGGGCACGAACAGCGGCCCCGATTCATTCAGCATCACTGACATGACGCCCGCGGATGTTGCCACAGCCGCTCCTGAGCCCGGCGCAGACCCAGCAACTGCTCACCACAATGGCAACGTGTTGGATGGCGCTGGTGCCGCACCGGCTCATTCGAGCACAACGCCTGGGAAAACAAAGGTTCCATCGGAGCTTAACGCAGCGCCGGCCTTGGGCAGTGACCCTTTTGATTTGGAGAGTGTCACCGCGTTGGTTTCCGTGGGTCTAAGGTGTGGCAACACCGTGCATGGCTGTGCGTCTCGGGTGCTGTTGCTTCTGCTTGTGGGCCTGTGGGGCGCTGCGGCCCTCTGCTGAGGTGTGGGGGAGGGTGGAATTGCGACTTTTTGTGGAACAACAAATGTGCAGCTTCCCAGCATTACTCACTGCATTTTGTTAAGCATTCCAACTTTTTTTTTACTGGTATTTTTTTTCTTGTCGCTTTATTGGAATAATCAGCACCTCTGTGTTTTCCCCCGATGATCGCCTGCTACACACCGTCACGAGCGAAGTGTTTCCCCACTTATTTGCTTCTGTTGCCCATATGCGGTGCCGGCCTCATTGCTGTGCGTTCCACGGATCGCGCGAAACGAGGAGTGGAGGAGCAGGCAGGATGCCGCATGGAAAGTGGGGGATTTTTTTTGGGCTTACAAAATAGTAGGATCTTTTTGTTTTTCTTGGAGCGGGCAATATTTACGCACAAACGCATGGTCGTATTGTGCTGCTTGGCTCGGGAAATAAAATTTCTGCCGAATGGATTTTTTTTGTTTTATGGGAGCCCTGCAGGACCCTCACATTTTTTTTTCTAGTCACTGTGGCCTGTTTTCGTGTTTGCCGTGTTGACTGTCTCTTTGTGTCTTTTTATCCCGTTGGATGTCTTTCTGGCGGCTGTGCTGTTGACATGCCCCCATTCTTTCATCTTCCCTGCTAGAGGCGCCGGTGGCCAGCGACTACGATTGTTTGTGTTCCCCATTGCGATGGCAGGAGGGTGACTGGGCGTCGGTCTGCTGAGTACAGTTGGAGGGGAGCGGACGGTGTGCGCTGTGCCTCACTGTGAGTGTGGGACGGCACCCGCCACAACCTGTTCTGGGGTGTAAGTCCAATTTGTCGGGGCGGAGAGAAGTAAAGGACATTGCCGTGGACTTGGATGCGCTCCGTCCCTCTTGTTGCGGCCGTGGGTCTGTGCTGTGTGCACGGCACTTTCTTGCGTTGCGGCGTGGATGGAGTTGCTTACAAGTACATTTGGGAGATTGGTTGCGGTCGCTGCGGGCTCATGCAGTCAATAGAAGAGGCTCTGCAGCGTGCATGCGAATGTGTGTGCATGCATGCTTGATGCTTAGAGCTGTGTAGCTTGCCGGAGAGTGCCGCTGCTGCGTTGTTTTTGTGGTGGGCGTTGTGCGTGCGCTACTGACGCTTCTGCTGTGGGTGACGCAGGGAGTCTTTCTGTCACACACGTTTTTGAGGGCTGTGACAATTCTGCGATGGCATGCGCGAGTGGGGGACTACTGAGAATGATGCGGGGAGCTGTGTGCGGCCCACACGGCGCGTTGGAGCTGCAACTGCAAGTGGCTGTACGTGGCGCGGGTGGCTGTGCTGACGTTCTGCCAGGCACCGGTGCTTTGCGAGGAGGGAGGGCGGGAGCCCGCTTTGCGTCTATTTGAAGTGTTTCGGGTGTGGTGGTGGCTGGCGTGCGGGCTGTTGGATTTGTTCAATAAAACAGGAGAAAAAACAACAATTAGTGTGGATATACTTTCCCTTTGTCCGACTGCTGCCTTTCTGCTTTTTCTTCATTTGCATGCCGTGTGCGCAGCATCAACCTGGACGCTGTTTGTTGTGCAGCGCCGACCCATCGGTCACGCTAGCGGTGCCAGTGGTCATGTGCTTCTTTGCTGGGATCCCACCACTCCGCACGGTGATTGTGTGGGGCTGCGTGGGTGGTGGGGGGTGGACGGCGTAACTAATTTGATTGTGTTCTCGCGTCTTTGTGTTGGCGGTCGGGCTGTGGCCGGATGCTTCTGCGTACCACTGTGTTTATTTGCTGTTGTTGCTGCCTCTTCCTTCTCCTCTGACCGAGCAGTTAGAGATACTTTGGACTGGCCAGCGCAACTATCGTTTCAAGGTGTTAGGGATTACTCGCAGTATTAGGATTAGCATCAGTGTGATATCGATATATAGGAATTGTGTCATTGGATTTTCCATCTGTAGAACGGGATTTGCTAAGTAGGAGTTATGGTTGACGGGGCGAGTGCGAAACACCACGACAGCCCTGTTGGTACCTGTTTGGGTCGGTGGATGTGGTCTGCGGTGGGTGCGTGTCCGCGCAGCCGTCACCGTGTGCGGCGCAGGGCCGTTGCGACTGTGTGTACGGCGCTGCTTGTGGCGTTGGCGCTGGTTGCTGCTGCTGCGTGGATGCCCGCGGTGCATGCGGTGGTGTTGCGACTGCGGGGCGGCACGGTGGACAGAGCCATCACGGTTGGCCGCGCCGTGGACACGGTGCTGATGGACGGCGTGTACATGACGAACGGCGTGGCTGTTGTGTTCGACGTGCCGGCGATGCTTCCCGGCGCGCTGCTCATCGAGTTGAGGAACTGTGTATGCGACGGCGGTGCGCAGATCTACGTGCGGGGCTACGGCGGCGAGCCGGCGAGTGACCGGAGCCTGGAGGTGAGTGTGAGCGGGCTATCCGGCGACTACTGCTCGCTTGTGTTTGTGCACAACCTGCCGGCACACACGAACGTAACGGTCCGTGACTCGACGATTGTGACGCCGGGACCGATGCGCTACTCGCAGCTGAGCGGGCTGACGGACGCGGTGGCGTCGCCGCTTGTGCTGTACGCGACGTCGCTGTTGCAGACGCAGCTGCGTTTGAGCAACACAGTGCTGAGGTCGTTGCAGGCGGGCGGGTCGGCGGTGTACGTTGGCGGCGGTGTGGACCTGCTGTCGAGCGCTGTGGTGCTTGACGGCGTGTCGCTGGAGGCGTCGGGCGGTCCGACCGCGTCCGCGATGCGTGTGGCGTCCTCGTCGCGTCTCAGTCTGCGGGGCCACTCGGTGTTCTCCGTGACGAACGTGTCGGTTGTGAGCAGCGGCGGCGGCCTTGTGCTTGGAGAGCGTGTTACTGTGTTTGATTCGGTGCTGCGCTTTGTGGGCGTCGAGGGGTCTGTCACGTCCTCGCTGGTGTGCTGCGACGGTGGGACTGTCGGTGGCGGCGGGTGGCTGGACCTGCACGACGTGTGGGCGGTGGGCGAGGCGTCGTCGGTGGCGTCGCTGTCGGGGGTGGCGCTGAGCGGCGGCATCGTGTCGATTGCGCGCTGCGCTGCCGTTGGCGCGACGCTTGTCTCCGGACCGACGATCACGAGCGGCGCCGTGTCGGTGCAGTGCAACCGTGCCGGCGGCCGGGTGCTGCAGAGCAGCGGCGACTACCGCATGGCCGGCCTGTCTTCCGTGAGCGTGGTGCCGTGCGACGGCTGTGCGGCCGCGCTGGCGTGCTTTGATGCGCTGACGGCGTCGTTCTCCGACTGTGCTTGCAGCTGCCTTGCCGGCGGCTTGGGCGAGGCGTGCCTGCCGTTCGACGTGCCGCCTGCGAGGTCCGGCGGCGGTGGCGATACCGCGGAGGGCTGCGTGAGTGGCGTGGCGCTGACGGAGTCGGTGACGGTTGGCGGCGGGCGTGCGACGGCGTGCTTCGACTCGGTGGTGTTCAGCGGACCGATCACTGTGGCGGTGGACCTGCGCTCGATGGACTTGTTTGCTGGCGCGTTGAACGTGACGCTGCGCCACTGCGTGCTTGCGGGCGGCGTGCAGCTGCGGATTGGCGGCCTCAGCGAGATCACGGCGCGCCTGATGCCGCACGCCCTCGTCAACATGACGAACGTGACGTCGGTGGAGGGCACGATTGTGCTGCATGGCGCGATGCCGCTGCACTCGAGTGTGCTGCTGGCGAACTCGACGCTGCGCGCGACGGTTGGCGGGTCGCAGTACGTGCCGACGACCCCTGGCCATGCGAGATCCCGGTACGGCCCCGCGCTTGTCCTGGACGGCGTCCGGCTACTGTCGACGCGGTTTGTCATGACGCGGTCGACGCTGGTGTGTGGCGGGGAGTCGTGCGCTGCGATCCTCGTGGAGCGCGGCCTCGGCGTGCACCTGTCCAGTGTCTTCTACATGGACAACTGCGCTGTCGTGTCGCAGACGCACGTGATGTACGCTTTTGCGTCGGACCTGCGTGTCAGCGGCGGCTCTGTGTTCTCCATACAGAACAGCTTGTGGAGTGCACTGAGCACCGAATACTACAAGGGTGCGTGTGTGTTCAAGGATGTTGCGGTGGATGGTGGCAGCGTGCTGCAGATGGTGTCCAGCAATTTCCGTCTTGGCTTCGCCATGCTCATTGCAAACACGCTGACCGTGGCTGACGGCAGCTGGCTGGTGCACCGTGACAACGAGTTCCGCACCGCCTACGTTGTGCACGTGGCCAACGAGAACGGCGTGGCGTTCTGCGATCAGAGTGTGTGGTCGATACTTGACAACAACTTCACGTACGGCTCGTACTCGTCAACCATTGCACACATGACAAGCAACTGGTTACCACCATCCGACTCGCGCCCGACCATCTACGGCGTGTGCAACGAGATAAGAGGCTCTCCTGTGACGAATTACGGAGAAGAGCTCAACATTGGGGTGCCCGTGACGGTGTTGGACTGTGGTGCGTGCACCGTGGACGCCGTGTGCTTTGCGGCGAGGACGAGCAGCATCAGCGGCTGTGAGTGTGTGTGCGCTGCTGGCGGCTACGGTGACACGTGTCTGCCGGCTGTGGTTCCGGACGGTCTTGGGCCGCTCCCGCTCCCCGATGCGAGGGACACGGAGGTCCGCTGCGTGCACGGTGGCAGCATCAGCTCCGTGTACGATCCTGATCCCGGTGTGCGTGGTCTGTGCTTCGTCAACGTGACCTTCACTGCCGCGATTGTGCTGGACTTGTCGTATTTCGATGCGCCACAACAGACACTCAACATCACGCTGCTGCAGTGCGTCCTCATGGGCCTGTCGGTCAGGGGGAGTGGTGTGCGAGTGCACGTGAGCGTGGTCTCCTCGATGCTGGATTCTGGTGATTTGGAGTTCAGGGGTGTTTTTGGCGTGAGCTCCCAGATACTGGTGGTTGGCAGTGCAATTGTGACGACGTGGAGCCACGCCATTGCCTTTTTGGATTTTGTTTTTGGTGCGAACTCGACGCTGCTGCTACTCGACAACTACATTGAAGGGAATAGGCACGCAGTCTATTTCACCAATGCTGTTGTTGTTGATGGTGGCGGGATCATTGTGAAGGGAAATAC